CCATGCATTTCAAGTTGTTCTTCATGACCTGTTGGGAAGGAAGCCTATTGAAGAGCCCAATTTGTTCATTTTAAAGTACTTCCTACATAGCAAAAATTTCATTAATTGTTTTCTTTATGATAATAAGATAACAAAATAACTGCTCACCACTTCCTTCTAAGCTTGGAAGATGAAAAGCCCAATTCAATGATCAAATATAGCCAAATTTATCAAAATTTAATTGAAAACCTAGAAAAGGCAACCTTAGAATTATAAGACCAAATTCCTTATGTTAAAAACTTCTTTTAAAAAAGGTAAAAAAACTTAATTTTATTTTATCATGTCAGTGATTAATTTGTTTCCATAATTCCATGTTGGGATAAACTTTACTTCTTGAATAACTTATTTCAACTTAGCTTGTTGATGAGTTAATTAGTTGTTTGAATCAAAGTTATATTGGTGCTTTTATTTTTCTAGAATGATATTTATAATATAAATTCAAAATAAATTGGATAAATGCATTTATTTGACTGCCATTTTAATGTTAGAAATACACTAGCATGCATTTGAACTAGGCTTATTAATTTATTCCATTTATTTAGAAAATAATTAACTTAGTTTTACATTGGGTATTTATTAATATTTACTTATGTGAATGTATTAAAATATAAAGATTATTTTAATTCAATTAGGCTTGTTACAACCTTTAGATCAACACATTATGATTAGATCAACTTCACTCTCTTCTTTCTCAACATATCATTTTCAAAAAATAGAGGGTCATTCGAAAAAAAAAAATTACTATAGTAGAAGGAAAATGAACAATTATTATAAACTCAATCATGATTATTAAGACTTCTATTAAAACCTTGAATTAAATAGTTTAATTAATCCAATATTGAATAAGTTCAAATTTCATCTATTGTTTTAGATAACATACTATTTTAAAATACAAGGCTATGAGAATATAATATCATAATATGATATATTTTTGATATAATAATAATAATAATATTTTTAGTATATTTATTTTTTGATACAGTTATCCTAAGGTCCTATTTTTCTTAGATTTTGCATGATTTATAATAAGCTGGTTACTTTTTTTCATGGGATATGGTGCTAATGATTTGAAAGTCAGAATGATAAGCTTGGATATAGTTTACTTAATAGTATATTTGAAATGCTATAAATAGATCTTCCAATCAACTTATGAATTTTGCATGTAGATTAAATTCCTACTTCTTTAGCATGTATGACCATTTCAACAAAGAAAGCCTCCAAATGCTGCATATGTGGATGATGGGAGTATTCTTTTAAGCCTTAACTACTCAAGTGCATGCTCTTCAACAGACGGAGGTTCCATGCTGGCCATCACCTCTCATTTTTACTCCAATTTTTTTAATTTTTTTAGTCATTGACATTATAATTTATATATTTAGGGTATTATGTTACTCAAGATTTTCTGATCTGTAATTCCAAGGAAAATTTTTTGGGTGAAAATTTTCAAATTAACTTGAGAAAAAGTTTATCTTAAAATATGTTGTTTTATAATCATCATATTTCATTAAAGTTCATTTAGTCAGACTTTTGAAGAGGATGTCTGTGGCTCTCCGGGCTCTAGGATGCAAATAAAAGTTTGAGACAAGGAATCAATGGTATATTGTCCTCAATACTTTGAGAGCTATTAAACTAAAAGATTGTGTGCAAATGCATATAATATTGTTATAACAAGAATTACCTGTAACAATTCATTTTTGTTATAATCTAAAATTTTGCATCCTATAATAATGCTTTGTGCTAGATTTGATCAATTTTAGTATGTTTTTTATGTTTTCTTTCTATAAGAATGACAGGTTGTTTGGCTACAAGAAGGTTCTTAGGAATTCAAGTAGGATTTAGTAAATCTGATAAATGTGTGTTGTATTCTTGTGAAGCTTTGCTCAAAATGCAAGCGCATATATGGATGTTGATTATGTGATTTAATGCTGTTGATTAAGACATAGAATGTCATGGATGAAATAATCACAACACTTTCATTCGCTTTCGACACCCGTGGTCAGGGGCGGATGCAGCATGGGGGCACGTGCCCCCACTGACTTTATTAATAATCTCTAATTAAATATATTTATGACTCATTAATTACCTATTAAATCAAAATAGTATTATTATATTTCAAAATAGTATTATTATATTTCAGCATGTTCGAGTTTGCTCAAAAATTGAATGTTTGAGACCTGTTATAGTGAACAGATTTGAGCTCAAAAAGAGCGGACCGCGAGACAATTGGATCATAATACTTGCTAGTTAGCCACAACCACCCGCCTCCCTACAGAGACCATATAACACACAAACTTATCTTATCAAGGTGTCTTATTATATAAAGCAAAATATTTTAATCTTTCACGGTGTGGGACTAAAAAGGTTTTTTTTTTACTTGTGAGTGGAATACTTAGGCGGGAAGGGGAAACATCGGCAGGAAATAGCAGGAGGACAAGGCTTTTTTTTTCAGGCTTAGTCACTTTTTTTTTCTTCTAAGTTAATAATTCTAATTAATTAGTTATATTACTAAAAATAAAAGTTAGAGATATGTCTAATGTATACTGTTAAAATTAAAAATATTAAATTAGTAAAAAATAAATAAATTAGTAGATTTAATTGTATTTATTTTTAAAACTCTAATTGAGCTCTAATCGAGCTTCTTAGTCGAGCTTTTTAGCGAGCCTGTTCACGACGGCTTCTTATTAGAGTAGCGTTAAATTTTTTTTCTCACATATATTTTTTTGGCTTAGTTGGACATATGATTTTATGGCCTTGAGCCGTCAAAGAATAGATTTTGAATTCCTTACTTGATAAACCCTGTTAATATTATTTTAATTGAAATTAGATATGGAAAGGTATTTCGAAAGAAAATTTTAAGATTGAGGGTTTTTTTTTACTTCAACGATTTGTGCCCCCACATGAAAAAAATCCTGGCTCCGCCCCTGCCCGTGGTACCAGGTATAAAATGTTTCTCTCTCTAAAGATTCTAATTTTTTAAGTTGAGATATATGGCCATATTTATGTACTTTTTACTTTTGTGGCAGCATATAACTTGTGAATATTTTTATAATTTTCTAAATGAAATTGTTACTGAATCTAAATATTATTCTTTATTTGCATGCTTCAAAGTAGTAATGCTTGGTGGTCATTGTGAGAGGTTGTTAATTGGAATCATTGCAAATAAAATATTTCCTTTTCTTGAGGTATGAATCTCTTAGCATACGCTTGCAAATGATTGAATCTATAAACCAAGGCTTAGTTGATTATTTTTAGGTAGAAAACATCTTTTAGGAATGCTAGATTTGTTTTTATTCATTTTGACTTTGAAAACTAATTCACAAAATATATGCATGGAATTAGTTTTCACCTCCTTATCTGATTGGTAGGTTTAATAGAAAAGTATTTTCTATTTCTTATTGGTTTTTAGTTTGAAAAAATTACTAATAAATTAAATAATGAACAAAACTTGAATTTAATTCGGCTTGTTTGGGGGTTTCTTATATAGACTAATAATGTGAAATATGCATTTTTTTTAATTTCCTTGGTAAAACATTTTTTTTAATGAATTGCATTTAATGCACATGCAAAAAAAATAAATAAATAAAGTGATAAACATAATATTTCTTTCATTTTAATAATGATAATATAACTAAAATATTAATAACATGAATTTTTATTTTTAAATTTTTATTCACGTGCATTTAAGAGAGGTGCAATAAAACTAGTATATATATAATTAACACCTTTAGTAGTCATTTGAGTGAGAAATATCAACAGAAGCTTTAGGAAGAAGTAAAAGATTGGCCTCAAAAGAGCATAATGTAGCCATCAAGTGAAGGATGGATAACATCTCATAGGAAACATTTAACCTGACTGTTTCCCCCTGTACAAGTGAAAATCAGTTTCAGAAACTAAGTAGGTTCATTTGTTTAAAAAAAAAAAAAAGCTTAAAAGTAAAACTATCAGGATAAAAGATAGATTGTTCCGCCTCTGCATCATCCTCCAGATTAATTAATCCATACAAATTGCACCCTATATTTGATCTCACTTCCTATAATTTATAAATCATTTATTTGCCAGGAACTAGAAACAAAATAAATAATATTATAACTGCAAGAATGAAAGAAATTTCATGCATGTAATGAATATTAAAAAAAATAATAATAATAATTATATGTAGTGAATACTTAATTAATGAATATTTGAAAGATGGAAAACGGTAGAAATTAAAGAATGCTTTAAAGTCTTATTCCGAAATTTATTTATATAACTATTAAATAAGAGATGTAGATGATAATAGTGATTAATTATATATTATGATATATAATAATTAATTAATACATTAATATGATAATTGATATTATATATGTAATATGAATAAAATTATAATTATTAATAAATTATAATTAAAATAAAAATTCTGAATTTTGTTTGAAGCATCCAGAACCATGAATTTTGTAACGGCCTAATTTTTTGCTAAATTTAGCCTGACCGTTGATTTGTAAAAATAACAAAAAAGGGCCTATTTTTTTCGCCAGAAGTTACAAATCTATGGCAAAAATTCTTTCAGGCTCTTTTAATTTGATAAATTTATATTATTGACAAACATCTTCAAACACCTTCTCTCTCCATCACCTCGAGTTGAAAGGAAGCCATTTTATTCCTTCATTTTTCTGTTTAGGGTTTTTTTTCAAAGAACGGTGGCTTATCTCTTTCCTCTTCTCTTCATCATTTCAAGGAGATGCTGCTCAGCCTGCAAGTTTTTGATGTTATGATTTGACTCATTAAAATATTAGACATTAAAATAAAATTATGAAATTTTGTGAGGAAGCCGCTTTTTTTCTTCATGTTATGGTTAGTTTTTTTTTTTTAAATTTTTTTTTTCATCTTCATATTCGATTTTAAGGATATTATATTAATCTAATATTCCATTTGTGTTTTAGATTTTATTTTTAGATGATGTTTTGATGAATATTTTGAAAATGTTGGCCTATCTCTTTCCTATTCTCTTCATCATTTATGGAGTATTGGCTCAGCCTGCAAATCCTCCCCCCCAAAAATGGCAAACCTTAAGTGGTATGATGAAAATTGCTATTTTTTTTTTTCTGTTTTGATTCTTATGATCATAAAGCATCTTATTTTTCTTTTAGATAGAAATTCTTTGAGAATATTTTTAATAAGATTGCAAAAAAATTATAGGTTATCCTCCTCTAGTGATTGCTCGAGGTGGATTCTCAGGCATCTTTCCAGAATCAAGCCAATATGCTTATCAGTTTGCAGTATCACCGAGCAGTTTAAAGAATGTTGTGCTATTCTGCGACCTTCAGTTAACAAAAGATAGTATTGGCATATGCAAGGCTGATCTGAGGCTTGATAACTCTACTAATATTGCTAGTATTTTTCCAAAGAGAGGAAACACTTACAAAGTAAATGGGCAACCTATTCGAGGATGGTTCTCTATAGACTTTACAGCAGAAGAGTTATTCAATAATGTCACATGTAAGCATCTTCAGGGAGATCATGATGATGATTATTATTATTATTTTAAAAAAATTTAGAAAATTTTAGGGGTTGTTTGGTATCCTGTGTTGGGAAGAAATTAAGCGGGATTTAGCTTTAGATCTTATCAAATAGAGTTTTAAGAAATTTAAGTCATGTATAATTTTGATAAATCTTATTTCAATCCTATTATTAGTTGAATCTATTTTATCCTTTTAGTTCATTAATAGTCTGCTTGGAATAGTTGCAACATTATATGAACATTATATAAAATTGGTTATGAAATTGCTACGGAGAAAATAATTTAGCTACGTCCAACACAAATAGTAGCTTTTCATTACAAAATTTTATGAAAAATAATGAGAAAACAATAAAATAGTAATCGCCAAATGAAGCTGTGATTGTTATCTGAAAAACAAAATAACTAGAGAGTTGTCTCAAATAAACCCTAAATTGTATAAATAATATTATTTAATAAATCTTAAACTTAATTAATAAGTTAGTTAAAATGACATTTATAAGATAATAGGATTTGTAGTCTCCAGATAGATTTGGTAGGATTTAAGATAAATCATGTTTAAATACATCCAAAAAATCGGATAGCAAGCAATTAACCTTTAAATGTTTGAGTGATAAGAATTGTTTATGGCCTTAATATTTTTTCATTCATTTGAAGTGGTTCAGAACATTTATTCAAGGCCAAGCATATTTGATGGAGTCATGCCAATCTCAACTATTGATGATGTTCAAGGCCTTAAACCTCCTCAACTTTGGCTGAATGTGCAGGTATCTGTAATTCCATCCTCTAATAGTTTAAAATAAATTAAAATTTTAGTGAAAAAAAAATTAATTTCCTTTGTATTGTCTTGCAGTACAGCACATTCTACAAAGAACATAAACTAGATGCATTAAATTTTATAAAGCTAGCCTCTCAAGATATACAGTTCAATTTCATCTCATCACCAGAAATAGACTTCCTGAAGAATGTTGATGTGAGCTCCATGAAAACAAAACCAAAGCTCATTTTTAGGTTCCTTGATGCTGGTTCAGTCGAGCCGGCCTCGAACAAGACATATGGAGATCTTCTTGAGGACTTGGTAAATATCAAGACATTTGCATCAGGAATTTTAGTTCAAAAAGAGTATATATGGCCTGTTGATCATAATGGCTATTTAGCACCTAGCACTGGCCTTGTAACACATGCTCATAGAGTTGGACTAGAAGTTTATGCTTCAGGATTTGCTAATGATGCTCCAGGAAGCTACAGTAACAACTTTGATCCAGTTGATGAGTATCTTCAGTTTATTGACAATTCAAAATTCTCTGTTGATGGAGTTGTCACTGACTTCCCTTCCACTGCATCAGAGGCTATTGGTAACTTGAAATTTGTTATCTTCTTTTCCTTCTTAGGTTTATTATAAGTTGTAGAGTTTATTTTTTGCCCTATAAAAAATTTCTGCTATTCCGATGTAATCTTAAAGATAAAAAAAAAATGTGCAATATTTACGAATTGCTTGTTTCATGGAGGGCATATTTGGGATTTTAAGGCACATAAGTTTATGTATATATAAAAAAAGGGGTCGTCTTTATGTAGGGTTTGTAGAAATTAGGATTATAAGAACAGAAAACTCCACTATAGTGAAATCTGTTGTTTCGACAATGACACATAAATTCTTGGTTTACTTTGTGCTTTGATTTCTATTCTATGTTATGTTATTTTTGTGCTTAATGATTAACTTAAGGTTTTGTTTTTTGTTTGTGATGACTTTTTTATTGCTTCTTAAAGCAAATTTTTAGTTTAAAATTTTTAATTTTTTATTAGAAAGTTGCTGTAAAAAAGCTGTACCAATTAAACGAAGCATAAGCCTCCCATAATCTCTAATACTATAAATTTTGTAAAAATAAGAAAACTTCAACACAGTGATTTGACAATACATTATTATCAATTGGGTGAAACTATATAAAATTCTTGCTGTACTTTGTGTGTTGATTTTTTTTTTCTGTTTTCTCTCAATGATTGAATTAATTCTCCCCTAATTCTCAATGCTTTAGAGGTACCTTGAACTTGATCTTTTTGTTAAGTCTCTCTTATATTGTACATGCAGCTTGCTTTGCCCATAACAAGAACAAAGCTCTCTCTGGAGAAGGCAAGTTCAGGAATTCTCTTTCTTATTCATAATCATATCTTAATGTAAATGCTCGTAACTTAGGCTGAAAAAAATGTACATCGTTTACAGGTCAACCATTGGTTATAACTCACAACGGTGCAAGTGGAATCTATCCTGGAAGCACTGATATTGCTTATAAACAAGCAGTAGATGATGGTGCAGATATCATTGATTGTTCCGTTCAAATGTCAAAAGATGCCATTTTATTTTGTTTAGACTCAGCAGATCTTTCAGGAAGCACAACCGCAATGCCTAAATTCATGTCGAAGTCTACAACAATACCTGAGATCCAAAACAACACTGGAATCTTCACATTCGATCTCACTTGGATTGAAATCCAAAGCTTGAAACGTAAGAGTTGTTCTTCTTTTTTTCTTTGTTTTATATGTTCAAGCAGAAAGATGAAAATGTCTCAAACATCTCATTTCCCTTTTTCAGCTAATTTGGTTAGCCCCTACTCATCACTTGGGTTGGTAAGAAATCCAGTTGCTAAGAACATGGGCAAAATCCTGACATTGTCTGAATTCCTATCCTTTGCCAAAAACAGTAGTGTTCCAGGTGTCCTGATCAATATTAAGGTATCAAAGCAGACACTTTTTTAGATAACTTATCAAATATCAAAAATCTAATGGTTACTCTTTAATCTATAGAATGCTCCCTATCTAGCATCAAAGAAGGGTCTAAGTATAGTCGATGCCGTTTCAACTGCATTGGCTAATGCGAGCTATGACAAAGACAAAACAAAGAGAGTTTTAATCCAATCTGACGACTCTTCAGTTCTTTCAGCATTTAAGAAGAAGAACACCTTCTATGAATATGTTCTCTTGATTCCAGAGCAAGTTGGCGATGCACCAAAGCCAACTATTGATGAGATCAAGCAATTTGCTAATGCTATTAATGTTATAAGATCGTCCCTAATGGCTTATGATGGTGCTTTCATTTCTCATTACACCGACGTTACAACGGAGATGCATAAATCAAATATATCTGTTTATGTATCGGTGCTCAAAAATGAATTTACAACGATAGCTTACGATTTCTTCTCAGATCCAATTGTTGAAATTGCTACTTTTGTTGGTGGAATTGGTGTGGATGGTCTAATCACTGAATACCCTGCAACAGCAAGAGCATACTTGAGTAAGTATTCACCATTGCATCATCATATTTGCTTTACTCAAAACTACATATATCACTGTCAATGGAAACTAATATTTATCTTTGTTTTTGTATATGTTGTAAGATTAACGAAATTTACACCTCTTCTTTTCCTTAATATAAAACTTAAATCACGAAAAAATCTGCCAAATAACTTATTAGTACTTAACATGATTTAATATTTATCATTCCTGACAATATATAGTAGGAAGATTTACATACGTACCATCCTATACTATTCTATTTACTTATTAAACATTTAAAACTTTAATATTACATACATACCACAAATAGTTCATTTTAATATCAAATATGAGTGATAGAAATGAAGTATATGAATGATAGGAATGAAATATAAGTGGTATATTTGATATTAAAATAATATAGGATGATATGCATGTAATATTAAAATTTTAGGTGTTAGATATGTAAATAGAATGGTATAAGATGGCTTGTATGTAAATTTCCCTATATAGTAATATAATACCTCTAGGATTTACAAAATTTGAATTTGCAAGTTTTACTAAATCCTATTTGAGTTAAATTCTGAGTTACAATATTTGTCGCTGTTTCATCATATGATCTTTCATACTAGTTATTCATGTGCTTGAATGACACATGCATATATTTACTTAGGTTTTTTATAAATCAACAAAAAGAACAATCAGAAGAAATCAAACTGCCCTAAAATCAATTTTAAAGAGTGATGTTATTTCTCATGAAGTTTATAAGATTTAGAAGCATATCATGTTTGTATGTTGATGTGTTAAAATAGTAGAAATTTTGACATGAAACTTTCACTGATGAATTGGATTCTACAGGGACTCCATGCTCAAACCTCAATGCGAAGCTTTCCTACACAATCTTACCAGCAGAGGCTGGAGGTCTAGCCGGGCTGGCTGCACCTGAGGCCCTACCTCCGGCTCAATCACCAGCACCTCCTCTCAGGCCTGTAGATGTGGTCGACCCGCCACTTCCAGATGTTGCTAATCTTACAAATCCTGCTCAGGCACAGACACCAGGTTCGGAGCCAAAGGAAAGCGGTCAGCTTTCAAATACAGCTTTTAACACTCATCTCTGCATCCTTATAATGATGCTCAGCTTTTTTTGTTTAAGGCACCAATGATTGCAATTGCAAATTTGGTTATGTATATCATTTTGTCGATGCATTAGTTGGATGTGAATGCTCCCTTTTATTGAATTGAACCAATTATTGAAGTATCATAATTAAGATCAGGTGAATAGATTAATTAAAGTAAATGAAGAGTGAATTTTAAATTATTTTAATGACAAGAGGGTCTAATGTTTTTTTTACCATAGTGAAAAGAAAACTTTCTTGTTCCATCTTTTATTACCTTAACTGCTTTTGATGTTTTTGAAAAACCGAGTTGATTCAAGTGCTAAATTACCTATTCCCAGCATACATACAATAATTGTTCAGTTGCAGTAATTAAAATGGATGAGGGAAACCATAACTTTGTCTTACAAAGTTGATACTTGTTTAACCTCCAAAACAGAAGACAAAAATAAATAAATAAAAAAAAATGTTTTTTTTGCTAAATCATTACATACCAAAATTCTACTACAGACGCATCCCCGCCGCTTGCTACAGTTCCTATGCTCTGCGACTTGGCGCCGTTTGCAGTCATACCACGCATGCCTACGCTTGCTTTTAAAAACAGAGAGGAGATGGAACTTTCTTCTCTTCTTCTCCCAGGCTCATGAAAACCCCAAAAACAGCCGCAACTCTGACGCCTCTTCTTCTCCTCCCACGCACAAACGTCAGAGCCAAAACATCCTCAAGCCAAGGCCAACGAATCCCAAGCCCTGTCCGACTCGTATCCGAGCTTAGCCGCCGATTCCACCTTGCATTACCCGAACTCGAGCAAACGTTCAGCCTTCCGATTTCCCTAGCCGAGATCTTTTCCACCCCACAACCCTAAACATCTGCCGCAAGCTTCCTCGCGCAAACGCCTCTGTTTCTCCGGACGATTCCCTCCAGCCTCTGATCCAACGCCTCTTCCACCTCTCAGTGCCGCAAGCCGACACAACCCTAGCTAAGACCTCTACTGTGCCGCAAGCCAACTCAACCTCCCGAGTTCCCTCTCAGACCTGTACCGAAGAATTGCCCGATCTCCCTGTCCACTTCGCAAGCCGCACCAGACCCGACCTCTCGGTATAGATTTTTTTAGTTATTAATTGTTATCGTTATAATAACAATTATATATATTATATAGATTATGTAATGCTTAGTAAACACTCCCAAACTATTCCAAAATCAAAGTACCGGGAAAGCATGGTGGATCCTTAACACCTTCACCTCCTCCACTCGATTCTTCTAAATTTCTCACTACCAATGACCCTGAAATTGTGCAAATTATTGCATCCGGTCACCGGACATGGAGGATAGGTTCGGACATCCAATAAAAATTTGTTATGCCACCTGCTCTTTTGACTTGCGCTTTGACTGTGCTTTACCTGCGCTTTTGACTTGCGCTTTGCCTGCGCTTTACCTACAATTTGCCTGCGCTTTACCTGTGCTTTAATTACGCCTTTCCTGCGCTTAATTTAAAATAATATTTTATTAATATTCGAACCTATCTACCCATCTGGTGACCGGATGCAATAATTTGCCCTGAAATTGACACTTATCTTAGTCATTGTTATAAAACATCCACACGCGAATCTACATATGCTATCCCGAAGTCCTTAACAAAAATATTTCATTTAGTTAAATAAATTCAAATTATAGGAGAAAAACCTCTCAAGCATTGGGATAAAAATAAAGATTATGTTGAAATCCCAATAATTAATCAAGAATATATATAGAGGAGCATGAAATAAAAAAAAAGTGGAAAATGATAAAAAAAAGAAGGAAAAAAAAATGAAAGAAAAAAAAAATGATGAGGAGGATGAAAATGATAACAAAAAAAAAAGTATATTTTTGTTCATTTTATTCGTCGTTACCCTTAACAAGTCACACATGCATAACCGCTAAATCCCTAAAATCCCCAAAGTCCTATTTTCGGCCCTTACAATGCGACAAGCAACAACTCATGCGTGCTTTCTTAGGACAGTGAGAGGAAGCTCATTGAAACGCTTTGCGGAGAGGTGGGGAGCCTTGTGCACACTTTTTTTGGCAGGGCGGGGTAAGATATAAATACCCGTAGCCTTCTGGTTGAAGACTATGGTCGTAGTGTCAACCGATACCGACCATACATATTTTTTCTTGACTTGGTGGGCATACTAAGACTCATGTAGTTTATCCTAAAAAAGGGAGACGCTAGGAGGCTGTCGAAATTTAGAATGAAACGCACACGACTTGAGCAAGTTACAGGAGACCATATTTGAACTCAAACTCAAGTTAACAACAAGGGATATGTGACCCGAACTTGAATGAAAAGAACCACAGGGGACTTGACTTGAATAATCGACAGCGAACTACACTTGAACTTGAATTCAAATGAACAATGCAGGGAACCAGACTTTAATTAATGAATACACTACCCACACTAAAATGCAAATGCTAATTAGTGGCGCTAATCATCCAAATGGAAATTGACATATGAATAAAGGACTTATATTGAAGTTTCGATGAACATTGTTTGATTAATTCATTCTCTAGTAACAATGAAAACTCATAATGAACATGACAACTTACCAAGAGGCTATATACAAGAAATGTAGTGTACTTGCAAGTAACGGTGGAGGAGTTGTAATGAATATAAACACATGTGGTGCTAGAAAATTCGTGATTGGAAAACACTTCATTCACAAAAAAAAGTAAATGAATCATCATGTACTCCACAACCTGGTCATGGTCAATACTCATCAAACTCACAATCCGTCCATGGATGATATCAAATGGCATACAATCGATGCGACATATATCTTGTAAACATGAATAAGAAGATTACGACGGACCTTATACTAACAACAAACGATACATACTGAATTCATATACAAGTTCCCTACTGATGAGAGAAGTTGACATGCAACAAACAACACAACACCGCTTTGGCTAACTTCAACTAATTAGCAAATGAAAGTAGTATACCCTTAAAAGTGCTGAAAATTAATGTGCAATGGACATGAAGGGCATGCGATGAATATGATAATGCCTTGCAATCAACATCAAAATATAAGAAAGCGTGCTTGACTTTGCAAACAAATATAATTTGTTTACAAACAAAGATGTACAGTGTTGCAAATCAGTAATCAAGATTGAGATTGTGACTTTTTTATAACAAAATATTATTGCTATAATTTATTTTTTTTCCTAACATATATTGGATATTTCTAATTGTTTCTGTGAGTACTAATATTTTAGGGAAATCATATATTATTCCAGATTGTTGAAATCTTAAAGACAATGTAGAATAGAATTTCTAGTAAAAGAGTCCATATATCTTTGTTTTTATTTCTTGAGTCCGAGCAAGTATAATTATACTTGATTAACCATGAACACATATAGGGAGAGAGTGATAATTAAAAAAAAGATCATGCTTTACGATATATCATCGTACTTAAAGTTCGTTAGGGATTTTAAGCCCTATAGAACTGGCCCAAGGCTACTAACCAAGAGGGAGGGGGGGGGGGGTGGGGGGGGGGGGGGGGGGGGGGGGGGTGGGGGGGGGGGGGGGTGAATTGGTATTTAAAATTTTTTTAAGCAAAGAACAAATGCAAACCAAATCACCACAAAAATAAGTGCGAAAGAAAATAAATGCGGAAGTAGTAAAAAATAAGAACAAAAGGGTTTATAGTGGTTCGATCAACTCGACCTACGTCCACTCCCCGGAGGCGCCCTCCGAGTATTGCACTACAATCGTGACTCTCCTTTAGCCCCCACAACTAGGCGGAGAAGCCTTTATAAACACCTCTTTTTGCCACACTCGACAAGGCAGAGAACCTTCCTCCTTTTGCTTCCTCCTGAAGCAGGCAGAGAACCTCGATCACTTGCTAAAACTTACCTCTCCCAACCCTTCCAAGGATAAGAGACTCTAGGGAAGAAGAAGTGGAACAATGCTTGGAGCAACCCTTGTGAATCCCCTCACAAGATCCTCTCTCTCTCCCTCTCTCTCTCTCCTTTAGGTTTTCTTAGGTCAAGACAGCAGCCAAGGATGTTCAAAAACGTTGAACAAGAGCTCTTAAATAGAAGAGCTTCAAAGGAGCTCATTAATTGCAAGTTGTCGACTATATCTTCCAGGACGATATGGAAATTATCCTAGCTGATTAGTACAAATCCCATGAGATCGGCCAGAGCATCGCCCTGAATGCAAACTGGACGATTGAAAATTGGCTTGACCGTCCCAGACAATATCACGATCGTCCCGGCCGATCAGTTCAAATCAGAGGAAAATCGTCCAGAGCATCAACCTGAATTCAAGCTGTCCGATCCATATCGTTCAGGAGTAACTAAGATTTTTTTGACTAGATCGTCCTGGCCGATCCTGAGATCGTCTAGAACGATGTGATCGTATCAATCATCATTAATTACTTCCTTGATTGTCTGATAAATTAAGGCATAATTGCGAATATAGTCCAGGCCGATCCATGATCGTCCTGGTCGATTACCAAAAATACAGAATACCTTAATTTTTAATGGAGGCAATTTCTTTCTATTTTGAGCCTATCTTCCAGGACGATACAAGTATTGTCCAGGCCGATTGGCTAATGATGGCTGCCTTAATTAAGAACCCCTGATTAGATTTTCTATTTCAAGCCTGATCGTCCAGGACGATGTAAATATCGTCCTGGCCGATTTGAGTAAAAATAAAAAATTTAAGTCTCTCAAGTGTGTGTGTAGGGTTACTTTGCATCAGCCACACCAATGATTACAATCCACTCAAGAAGGGAAAAATAAAATTACAGACTCAACCCTAATCTATCTAATCTTGAGCTTATTCTGATTTCCGTCCGATCTTTGAGTCCTAAAAAGTCAGTAAAAAAAAGGCAGTCGTAGTGAAACAAGATTTGTTTGATATCATCAAAATCATAATCTAAAAACATGTTTGTAACACGTATTGTACGATTTGACTTAGTTTTTCTCCAGAATCTGGTTACTCAAAATATGGCTTGATTTTCTTAATTTATCATACTATACGATATACAGTTGTATAAATGACT